ATAGATTTTTATTTAAGTTATACGCATGTGGCAGGTGTTCTTGCACTTAAGAAACTTTCCAACATGTGAGTTCACCTTATATCTCTTATTTACGTTCGAGCTCGTTGTAGCCTTATCTACTGGATATGCTCGATCCTTCGAAATCCGGGTATTTTGTTCGTACCCTTTCTACTCCAGTCCTCCGATGTCCCTTTTGAGAACTTTCGTCAACACTCATTCATGTGAGGTTACCCTAGGCCTTTACAAGCTAACTGTATGGTAGTTACCAGTAGTTTATACATCGCTACTTTTGATTTGGTACGTTCTTATTCTTTTTAATTTGTTATGCTCTTACTGTAATTAACTTCAAAACTCTTCAAAAACTAAATGATTCACATAATTTTCCCCTCTTCATTTTCGGATGACTAAATTAGTTAAAAAATCTGATGTATATACCACATGATTTCCATGCACGGAATATTATACGCATTTTTTCCTGCATTTCATTTAAACTTATTTCCTCGAATAACATTAGAGCTATATTTCTTATTCCATTAATTTAGTTCTCATTTCGTGGGAAGGCAAAAACATTGAAAGATATAGAAAAACATAAAACACCAGATACAGTAAAAACAATTTAAAAATACAATTTTTACAATTACAATTACGGTACCATTACAAGCAGTTCGATCAGCAAGCAAGAAGGCAGTTTTTTCGGTGCACAAAACTAGATGTTTCCTTTTTGTCCCAATCGGCAAAACTACACTGAAGCTGCAGAATTCACTATTAGCTTAATTCACTATAGCTTAATTCACCATTCTGCTAAGTTTCAAATGTAAACAAATATAGCTGCTATGATAAAAAAAATTAGGCTCAGCCGCAATTAAGCAACTTTTAAATTGTTGATAATATTACAACATTACATGCAGAATAACTAAAGACATAAAAATCTCATCCGGAATGTAAAAACAACATAATTCAATCATTTTTAAAGAAACAAATGCACAATTTACCAACATATAAGAATAAAAAACCTTGAGCTAAAGGAGCCGAGTAATAGAGTGGGTATATATACTTTTGGTGGGGTCGATTACAACCAAAAAGAGAGGTGCACAACTACATGTTAAAGTAGTTCTATATACAAAATTTCAACGTTCGGAGGCTACTCGTTTTTGAGTTATTCGAGATACATACATACGTACCTACGTACGTACAGACGCCACGAAAAAAATCTCGTTTGGGAAAAAAGATTGCTTTATTCTGTCTTTATGTACAGATGTCACGCAAAAACATCTTAAATTGCATTCGACAGTAGTCAGAATGGATAGTTTAGTTGAAATATGCCACCCAGAATTTTTCCTGATTACAATACTTCCTTTATTTCGTACAAGGAAGTATAAAAGAGAAGGAGAAATACTCTAGAAAAATATCTTCGACTGCCCTTTGAAATTTAAAATAGTGAATGTTTCTGAAAGGCTTCTTTTGCAGAGATCAGTAGTTATTTCCTTTTCGAATAATTTATTCACACTTCTCATCCTAAATGTTAATTAATTCTCCTGATTCCTATTTATCGATCCTCATATCCATCGAATAAAAACAGAATGTTATGTCACGCGCTTAACCCAAAAGAAAAAGGAAAGTTTTCAGTGAGTCCGATCGTCAATGCGAATTGCATTTCTCTCGGAACGTTACAATTCGCTTTACCCTTGAAATAGAAAATAAAGCGCTATGCGGAGAATAAAACGAAAAGAAATAAAAAGTGAAACGATCAGAAGAGTAACTTCTCTGAATTTAGAACTTGAAAGTTGACTTCAAGTACTGCAGTAGGCAATGTAAGAACTATCATACAATTCTACCTTCTGCTATTACTTTCCTCTGAAAATTTTCCTTAACTTTTTTCCTCCTTTTGTTAGTGATAGAAACCTTCAAACGACTGCGTTTTTTGGCAAGACTTTTTGCTTCCAGCTGCGTTTTCTCTCCTCACGCAAACATCCTAGGGAAATGTAACAACTTGGATTAATCTTGAAAGAAAACAGCTGCGAGTTGGCGGAAATCCCAACTTTCTAGGGAAAAAAAAAGTTGAGCTTTGGAGAGAGACGAAACGAAAAGGTATTTTGCATAATAAATTGAATCCCGAGCGCAGTGTTGAACGTGTTTGCGCTCTCATGAGTTGTGTTGAAAGTAAACATAACGTTGTACTTTGAAAGGTTTTTTAAAAATGGAATAAGATCATGGAAGTTGAAAGTAACCCTAAAAAAGATGCTGATAACTAAAATAAGTTTAAAATATTTGTACATAAAATAAATTTTGAAAGCACAAATGCTGTTTATACCAATATCTTCATTCGCTGTATACCGTGTCCAGGCCGTTGATGGTAGATCTAAATGTTTTACATTCCGCAAAGATTCACGTTTTCGGCATTTTTAAATTTAAAGAAACCAGTGTTTTTAAAATGACGAAATCCAACATTTTATATATTCCTCTAAAACTCACTTAACTCAGCGGCACAAATAGTCGTTAGAGAGCCATGGCCGGCAGTGCCCTGATATCTGCTTTCTAGACAGTGGACTCCAGAGTGCTTGAGCATATTAGCCTGGACAAGTGGTCAGCTTGTCGCCGGACTACCAGTGTTTAGTTCCCAAGCGAACTTGGTACTCATTTTATCAACCCAATTCAAGATATAAAAGGCTGAGTCAACGTTGCTCAAACCGGGGATCGAATCCCGGACCTGTGGTGCACGACGCGTTAATATATTCCTTTGGTATTTAAGAAAATTTTGTGCTCGTTATCTACCTAAATAAATAACGATAAATGTCCATGTGTTTGTCTTATGATACAGATTACATTTTTATTCCCATCCTGATGAAATGTGGCACACTCTACTTTCAAAGGAAGAGTTAGGTTACTTCCACATAAGGTCCACATAAAGTTAGGTTACAATCCACATACGATTTCACAAAACCCACTGCACGGGGTTTGCATTATTAATATGGATGCATTTTACCCAAATTTAGCCAACAGTTGATTAAAAAAGCAGGGATTTAAAAGCATCGTGTTGCCACTTTGCTAAGCGCAAAATATTTCCGTTTCAAATTTAATCAGTCGCCGGTTTGTAAGAATTGTGTTGCCATTCAGCAAAACGCAACATATTTGTTTTTCGACTTTAATAAACAAACTCAGTGAATTGGAAGAAAAGTGTTGTCATTGCCCAAATTAAAATATTTTTATGTATGTTATCGTTCAGCGAAGCTTAAAGATACTTAATTTTTCTTTCAAACTACCGCTGTTGCGTTTCTGCTATTAATTCATACTAAACCCTTTAAATTGTGTTATGTTCCTTTACTCTTGCGAAAAGTGTAAGCAGAATTTAAGAGTATTCTCTATTAATTTTTCTCGAGTATTTCGAAGATGGTGAAAAAGAAATGGGCCAATCTGGATGGTGTTTTTCCGGAAAAAGACATAACCGATAACAAGGCAAGTATCTATTCTTACTAAAATCGTTAGATGGTACGATGTTATTTATCTCCTTAGAACAGTGTGGAAACTCTTTAGAGTAGAACTTAAATACACTGTCCATCATGCTTTCACGAATATTTCGGAACTGAAATTTCGAAGAAAGTGCCTCCATTTCTCTAGATGAAGCCTCTTCACTCTGCGAAAAGCCCGTATACTGCCAAGCACTTCATTTAGTAAAATATAAAACACAAAACGTATGTCTCTCATGACAAAATCAACATTTAACTTCAAATATTATTCATGTAACGTGAATTTTCATAATGGCTGCTATAATTTTCCCGTCAGTATAAATGTGTTGTCGTTGGTGATATGAAATAGTTCGATATACGAATGAGGATAAGGTGAACATTAAATTCGTATTGCGTAAATCCGCGTGTGTGGGTAAAAGGAAGGTGTCCTTCTGTGTCATACTGCTTAATATGCAACTATGTGTTCTATTATGGAAGTATGTTTTCGGTAGATGTTTTCCGTTTAATATAATAAAGTTTATATATACAAAGTTTAATATATCAAGTTATGTAGTTTAATATACATACGAATTTTATTGTATTTTTTTTGGCATATTTTAGCGTTTAATATAAATTTTAAGTCTGTTAGTTTTGATACCCATATGATCTGTAGAAATACTGCCTCAGTATATAACTACTTAGGTTTGTTTACAAAATTTTACAAATTTTTACTGTACATTTTTTTAAATTTAGAAATATTAAAGGTTTTGAGATCATTCATTATAATATTTCATACCCTTGACATACATGCGTACGAATTAATAAATGTTTATGTGAATATTTTATCATGAGTATACTATAATGTGCAAATTAATTGGGATAAAGCTAATGTTTTGAAAATTTATGTAGTACATACCTTCATTGACAGTGATAATAATAAAATTAATAGGAAATATGTCCTCCCTTATCAGAAATGACCACTAGAATAAGCAAAGGCATCGGCTGCACTAGTTTTGTGAATGTATCTTTTACTTCTTTATCATGGAACCGCAGTTTTATAGCGTTAATAATCACACGCTCATACGATACGTTTTGCTAAGATGATCATCGAAAATTTGTCACAAGTTTTCGATCGAATGAATTTTCAAGTCAGAAAGTAGCGTAGTCATTTTATTTTACAACATAAATCTTCTGGCATACTGTTATGTGCGTTAATCTCTGCTCTCTTTCTAGGTGTGAAATCCATTTTTAGCACACTGAAATGAACGAATGAAAAAATAACTTCCTTTTCTCACAGCAACCTCCTTAAATATTGTGAAATAATTCTAATTCTTCGTCTATGTCAATTCTAAGTAGTCATCTAGTCGCGGATAAGTAGTCGCGGACATCTAGGTAGATAAAACTGCTTTGAGAGATTTTCTGCGCCAGTTGGCAACCAGTTTAAAATTCTATGAAAAAAATCACTTTGTCCCAATTAATTTGCGCACTATAAAATCGTATTGCGTTCCACTTATTTTAAAACTTTTTTTCGCTAATCCTCTCAACTTCTCTTTCTAGGGTTCGAGTTGAATTTTACGTAAATGAAAATACACTTAAAGAACGACTCGAATTATTCTTCATAAAAAATCAAAGATCAAGTAAGTATACATTCAAGCATTTTAGTGTATTTATAAACAGATCGTATTTATTAATTTTGCACAATAAGTTTTATTTAAAATGGATATATTAATTAATGCGCTAAAAGAAGAAAAGTAGTTTATCCTATAGTTTAATGGGAATAATAAATTAAGTAATCCTATTGATAGAATGCATTTATAATTTTATATCGTAAACAACAAAAGCGTATGGCATGCGAGATAAATTGAAAATAATAGCTTATACATTTGAAGATTCAATTAAATTAATGTATTTTGTTATTCATTTATTAGTAAAAAACTGTGAAATATAGAGGTGAAAGTATTTTTTCTGCTTCTCACAAATCATTGCGAGAAAATTACAAATTTTCAGTCAGAAAACGCATTTTGCAATGTTATCATCATGCAATGATTTCTGGGTGCTTTATTTTTCACAAAACATTTCGTGTGACGATATTTCAAAATTCTCACAGCAACCTGCTTGTTAGCAATTATAATTAAAATTGCTAACATTTGCGCTATTTTATTTTCTACCACGGTGTTTTAGAATTGCTGTGCTTTCTCCTTTTCTCTTTTCTTCCATGATGTTCTGTAGAACGTCGTTGCGTTGTTTTCTCCGCGATGTTTTCCCCTGTAATATCTACCATTCACTTATATTGCATGCCTATGACTATTGGGCAAAATTGTTCAACATTATCATTGTTTAATCTCTAATTAGTATCTTAAGAATAGTTCGAAGTGTTGAATTTTTTCCTTTTCCAAATTACACATATTTTCTATCACAGAGTGGTAGAATTTTTATTTGAACTCATATAAACTAGATTTACTTTTATCACTTAAGGGAGAGTTTTTATCATTTTCTATAAATTTTATTAAAGGGTTTGTTACACAAAATGATTTTTAAATTAAAAATAAATTTTAAAGGTGATTTTTTTAGTTTAAATATTTTTCTTTATCTAGAATTTCCAGTGTTTATAGGGCCCCCAGCGGCCGAGTGGTTAAGTCGCTGAACAGTGGTAGTTCGGTCCGAGGTTCGAATCCCGCGAACGGGCTGGCTGCATGGGCGTTTTCGTGGTTTTCCCCATGTGTAACGTGTATACGAGCCAGTTTCCCTTAGAAAGTCCTCCACGAAGGCATCCCTTCTCTTAGGCGAGATAGCCCTCGAGGCTTTGCCATAATTATACACACACCAGTGTTTATACTTCAAATCTTTTATAGTCTCAATTAGAAAATTCTTCATAATATAAAGGTAGATTTTGTAATTAATGAATTAGTTTAAAGAATAAAAAGCATATTTATAAGCAAAAACTATAAAAAATATATACTTTCAATTGCATTTTTATTTTTAATAATTTTTTCTTTTCAATATTTTGCAAAACCAAGCCTTGTTCTATTAAACATATAATAATAACCATACAATAAAAATATAAATAATTTAATCTACATCTGTGAACGTTTTAGGAATTTGAGTAAAAGGATTTATTAAAGAAATGCAGATTGACAAAACGTATATAAAGAATGTTAACTCTTAAAATGATCAGTAAAATATTTACGAATTTTTAAATATTTTTCTTATAAAATTTCAATAAATATTTATCTAAAATTAAATATTTTAATACCCAATTACTTGTTTTTGTTTTATAAAGCTTGCAGAAACAGTTTTAGTATTTTATTCAATTATAATATTTTTCTATGACATTTATAATTTTTATTAATAATATTTTGCTGTTCAATTCATTTCTTCAATGAGTATAACTTGAACAGACATTTTATTTAAGATTGCTCAATCAAATAAGTGAATTCTTTTATTCTTTTGGCCTTTGTTCTTGTACATGAATCACATTTTTAATTAATTTAATTTTAATTAGTTCAAGAGTTAAATATCTGATTCAGGATGAATATAAATAATGTTAAATTCGTGAAACTGAGCTCTTTCCTTTATGCCGCTTCTTTCTGTTCATGTCTGTAACAAATAATTTCTGTTTCTGGAGAGGAATATTTGCTGAACTGAGTTTAAAAAAACTGCAAGTTTAAACGCAAAGCATTTTTTTTTTTTTTTTTGTAACTTCATTCAGTATTTAAAATCAATCGGATTACTCATATAAATAGAATTTTTTTATACTCGCAGATACATCTTACTACGTTCCTCTTCTTCTACGTTAATTTTCAATAAATAATATTAAGAAATAAATTAAAACAAACATTGATTAATGAGGGGCATTTAAAGGACTTAGTACATTTAAAAGTCGTTTTAATCCAATTATCACATTCAGATCGTTTCAAAATTTACTAAATTATTATGCCTATAATACATTGTATTATAATAATATTTATATATATTTATTATTGTATAAGTATGTAAATTAATAGTTATTATCAATATATAATAATAAGTACATTTTACGTGCGTATGGGCTCGTAATGGGTTGAATGAACACGTAGCTGATGACAGCTTGATAAAAATTGTTTCAAAGAAGTACTTTTCAGTTCTGGAACTTTTATCAAAGGGAATCATACAGCGCATCTCAGTATCACAGAATCAGCACAATCAGCAGTTACCACTTAAAAGCTGTTAATTCCATTAAACATTCATGCATTTTGAAGACATTCATACATGAATGACATTCATACATGACATTCATACATGAACACATATGAAACATGAGTAAATATAGCCTCAAATACATGAACTCGCTCAGCTATCTGTCAATGCTCTCAATGTTAAACACTCTAAACTCGGAATTAAAATTAATTATAATTGGAATTAAAATTAATTATAATTGGAATTAAAAGTGAAAACTCCCCCTACTCTTATATAGCTTTCCCACATCCCCCGAGAAATTTTCAGTACCTTATGCCGTTACGGTTTCATAGGGTCGGATACAGTTGTAGGGATCCAATCAGCAACAGTTATACAAGGATCAAAGTAAAACATCTCCAAATAGTCACCAAGATTGGCGACTTTTGGCGATTTCTCGCAACGTTTCGCAACAAAAATTAGCGGCCGAAGCAATGATCATCTTGGCGTAGCCATTTGCCTCAATATTAAATGGACTTGCCTTGTAACCTTATTTCTCCACTGAAAATTCAGTTTCTATAAATCCCTTTATGTTACACTGTGCAAGAAATACTACAACTTACAAAATTCGTAACATTGCCTCCTCCCATGGACTCCACGTCAATGCAATAACTGGACAGGAAGCCCTACTTACAACTATGGACAGTAAGTGATAAGATAAAAATTTCATTTTCATTACATAACACATAACAAACCAAATACTAAATAAGTACATATAGAGCCATGCTCTTGGTATAATACTTTATATACATTATGGGGACTACGCACTTAAGCTGTAGTAAGAAGCTAGTCTATCCTAATGAACGATTTTTAGGCTTAGGATTACGAATCTGAACTACGACTTCGATCAGCCTATTGATGATTGTGTGAGTACAGTACCAGGGTTATTGCAGTTTAGAAAAAAAAAAACCTTTCCGTCGAATCAGATATATAACTACACCTTGTCATTTTATTTTATTCGACGTCCTGTAGCTCTCGTTTAGTATCGGATCTTCATCTTCTCCGTCGCCAGGTTGACTCGTTCTCGTGCAAACCCTTCCTGAACATTCTAAATGTATTCCTCAGGCGATAAAAGCACATATGGAGGGCGACCAAATAACAGATCACAAAGCAAACGAATTTCACGACCGAAGAGTGTTTGGATAGTGAACAGTCGGTATTCCCATGGTAGTACTACGATAGGCCAATAATAACAATGAAAACTTCTGATTCCAGTCTTGTTGGTTTGAAGAAACATCAGTTAGAAGTTATTAAGGATGGTTCGATTATAACTCTCTAGCATGCTGCCTCATCCGCAAGACTTGCCTTACCACGCGCGTGCTTTTCAATCAGTTCACCTCTGTCTTTAAGGCCAAAACTTAGTATTATACTTAGTTCCCGCTGATATTGGAAGACGTATTGTAGTTTTGCATTTCGCTCACTACGTACGTAGTGTTAAAAGTCCATTCTTCGCGTTACAGTCTCTGTAAGTTAGTTTATTTCGTATTTTCTACGTTTTAGACTATAAGCCCTGGCCTCTGCATCCTGAAGTGCGGGAGCGGCTGTACGCTGTGAAAAATTTTAATGGGTAAAGTTAACCCTTTGCATTTATGTGTATCTCCTCCACCCGCACAAGCATAGTTTGAGTAAGCTCCCTGCTCCCATTCAGGATTACTTATGTTTCCAATTTGAAGAGACAAGGCAATTTGAAGGAACAGCAGTCCTGACAGCTTGACAGCAAAAACTCTTTCTTCGATTTGTTGTTCAGTAGCAGAAACTCTTTCTCCAGTTTTTCAACTTTATTTATTTCTAACTTTATTCTGCCTTCCATAGCATCGAACTTGTTTTCGTAATTCGAGGCCGTAGTAGTTGGCAGTAATTTTTTTTTTTTACTTCCTCTTCACATGCTTCAATCTTTTCTTGAAGTGACTTGATGGCCCTTTTCGTCTTCTTTTAGTCTGTTTCCATCTTATCTTGAAGTGCTTACATCTCATCTTTAATGGATTTCATGGCCCCCGACTTAATTGCTTCTCCATCACCCTTGTCTGCGACATTCAATCCCAGTTCTGATACCAAAGATTGGCTACTTGCCTACTGATTCTTAATGGATTGAAAGCACACAGAACCGATGATAGCTTGATAAAATTTCTTTTAAAAATGCTATTTTCGTTGCTCATTTCACAGAGAAGTCGCCCGAAATGCCCGTGCATTTAGGACATCGGCAAGTTGCCCGAACGCCAGGATTTATTTTCTACTTGGTGTTTTCATCCATCACATCAATACACGGCTCACTGGTTTCGTGAGCTGTTAAGTACCCGTACGCAAGTAACAATCAATCTTTTGAGGAAATTGAAAGTGTCATATTATTCACTTATTTGAGTTCACCGTCCTTCTTCTTTGTTTAGAGTCAACGTTTAGCTATTGATGATGTCACTTGCAATTCTGT